TAAAATTTGGTGTTTGTGCAAAAAGAAAGGAAACCTTGGCTAGATGTCTATTTCAAATACCAACCCAATTAATGTAATTAAACAGGTTCTTAACTCTTTCTTTCCTAAGAAATCTGGGAAGAGAGTATGTGAATGTATGAAAGAGTGCAATATACAGAGAAAATAAAAATCAAAACTAACCTTTTGGAAATAATAATAATAATAAAACTCAAAACCAGTAATTGAACAACTATAACAACATATCATATAGGTGTATATATATATATTGTGTCCATTGTTGAAGTGCTTGTTTTTGTGACAAGCCATTCTCAAGGGAAAGCCAGAGATGAAAAGTCTGGTTTATGTAGTGTTTGAAAGTAGACTTTTCAGTACCATCTCAGAAGAAAATTCTCATGTTTATCCAAAGCATGGTATTTTTTTTCAACCACAATCTTGAAATCTAATGATATGTGATCTTTTACATCCTTCGTGGAAATGTTACCTCAAAGACAAAAAAAAAAAAAAATGATTTATATTGTGGAAAATGTATCAATAAATACATTCATGTGGAGTGGTCTCGAAATGTGGGATTCGTGTTTGACCATAAACATTTGTTGAAGTGCAATATTACTTGAACCAAAAAAAACATAAACATTTGTTGAAGTGCAATATTACGTGAACCAAAAAAAACATAGACCGACTAAAATACATGGAAGAAATGTAATCAATAAATATATTCATGTAGGTTGCAAATGATATCGAAATGAATTACAGATAAAACCTAAATTAATTGGGCGTTTATAGCAACAAGCACTGGTTTCATACATTGAACAATGCATATTAAATCGACAATGGTATGTATTAGATAGGAAACCATTAGAAACCAATATCAACAAAGATTGTTTAAGTGCAACATTTGACAGAAGAAGTGAGTAACATTACAAGAAACTTGTGACAAATGAAAATTCCATCCAATATATCAAAAGAGAAATGCTCTAAAGGTACTGTTTTTATTTTTATTTTCTGAAGGCACATCCGAAGAGCATATGTATATATCAGGCTGCAGGACACTAAGCCTTTATTCTATGGTAGTACATGGAACTTGAAGAATATATATATATATATATATATATATTATAGGTGTATGTGTATATATATATAGAACAACTATAACAACAACATATCATATTCTTTATCTAAAAAAAAAAAACAACATATCATATAGGTGTATGTGGATATATATTGTCCATTGCTGAAGTGCATTGTACTATATATTGAGAAACTTTAGTCCAATTTGCTGTGACATGCCATTCTCAAGGAAACTGGTGGATCTGAGAATTCTCCGGTGGAAATTTTATCAAAAACAAACTTAGCTGCTGCCTCAGTGTAGTGAACTCCATCCCAGTTTACTCGAACCGAGGGGCGTTCACACGAACCGATGAATATTTGGCTGCCATTAACAGTGACAGTATCTCCACAACCTCCCACACTGCTAAAGTTATACTTCCCACCATAGCCACAGCAAGCGACAAGCGGATGCTCAAACCCTGCAGACATAAATGACACATTCATATTTATGTCTATATTTTTATAATGTTTGTTCCTATGTTGATGCGTTGTAAAATTATGTTTAACATGGAGTTTTTGTTGTATGGCATACCATATTTTTGTGGTTCAGTATAGAGGGAGTACTTGACAGAGTACACATCTACATATGTGATTGCAGCTAGAGGAAGGTCCTTCCTGAGTTGCACAATGGCCTCCTTCAACCTGTAGTTAAAGTACTGAGCTACCTCATTGTAAGGCCTCGCGCAGCCGGCACTGTCTATTTGAGCTGCCGGAAAACTTGCCAAGATATAGGGAAGGCAGCCAATCGGTCCGGTGTTGTGGATCCAAAATGATCTAGCTCCCAACTTGTATATATTCTACATCATATCGCAATGTCAGAGTTATAGCGATTCCAATAGCACATTTTTAGTCATGCCCCTTTTTTTTTCTCCTCAAGATATCAAATGTAACTATCATTAGAAAGAAGAACTACACATATGGTATATGCAGCCCTTTTGTGATGAAGATTATACCTTGATGTTAGTAGAGAACCTGTTGACTACATCTGGGACAGAAGCATTCACCTCCTCTATGGACATGTTACCAAAGAAACCTTGACCAAGATCATTCTGACCAATATCAAATGTATACAAGGCTTTCTGAAAATATTCTTCCTCGGGCATTAAATCCTTGTATATCCCTCCTACAAGAGTGATTGAATTCCAGATTAACAAATGGGTAGAAATTTAAACAGAGTATGTAGCAGATATTGAGATGAAATGGCACTGCACGATCATATCTTTTTTTAGAAGTTCAAACAAATACACATACACCCACAATATTGCCCCTAATATGGCTAAAACACTCAACCTCCCCTTTGGAAAGGAAAGATATTGCGCAATAATATCATTTACCTGTTTTCTTGATAATTTGTGATCTGTATATAAATTGTGTGAACTGCCAGTATTGTGCATCTAAGTAGAAGGGACTGAATCCGCCCACCGGAATAATGAACCGTGGTGGTGTGGTGGTTGATGCTGCAGTGGCGAAATTTGCACCATTGGTGAAGTTGGTCCCCAAAGAATTGAGATAAGCACTCAGAAATGGGAGGCCAAAACTTGTAGCTGCAGTGGCAATAAGGTCAGCAAAGTGAAGGAAAATTGAGTTACAAAAAATGCTCCATCAACAGCCTGTAAAATGATAGTCTGCTTGCAATGTGAACACAAAGTACTTTAATTGCTTAAATTTCCCAAAAAAAAAAAAATAATAATAATAATAATAAAAATAATAATAATAATAATAATAATAATAATCATAATAATAATAAGTGTTTGATATTTTTCACTTGTGTCAAAATGAGTGACCATGCAATTTTATGGACCTACCACTGAAATGGATATCCTTATCTCAATCATGCTAGCCCTTTGCACCACTATAAAACATTGTAATGATAGAAAATGTTGCATGCCTAAAGTAGGCTAAAATCGGAAGTGATACTGGTAGATACATACCGATGAAATCAATGATGAGCCGTCCATCTGAGAACCTCCCTGCTGGCATGCGAAAGAAGGTTTCTCCATAAGGTGGCTTGGTCCAATTGAAGGCTGCAGCCAGTCCACCAGTGTCGGAATTTGAGTCGCCAAAGTTAAAAATTGCGGGAAAATCACAACTTTGCACAGCAGAAACAGGGTTCAGGACAGTGGCATAGCATAGAACAAAGATGGAAAAACAAGAGAAAAGAATGGAAGGCATGTTCATTGTTGGACACTCCATGTGGTGGAAGAGAACACAAGATGTTGTCTAGGATGCTAGAGATGAGAAGTTTGGTTTATGTACTGTGTGAAAGTAGACTTTTCAATCACATGTCAGAACTCAGAAGAAGCTTCTCATGTTTATCCAAAGCATGGTATTTTTTCCCACACAATCTTGAATTCTAATTCTATACGTAATTTTTTAAATCCATAAAAATATCATCTCAAAGACAAAAAGTTTGATTTGTCTTGTGGGGAAAACAGTCTTCTCAATTACTCGATTAGAAGAAATTATGTGGTTCACCAAAGCAGGCTTTATTTCAAGCCAAACTTAATATGTGATTTTTTATTTGAAAAAAATGTTTAATAAATTTCAATCAGTTGTTGATTGGTACAGTTGTTCAAGTGCAATCAATGAATACATTCATATGTGACTAAATGTGTGTCAACTTTCAACCCTCATTATGTAGGAGGTTGGAAGGTTGAGGCATCAAACAAACGAAATGAAATTTTGGTAATTCAATCAGTGAATAGAAAGAAACATATGTGAACCGGCTTACTTCAACCTGAGATAAAATTTTGTGAAGCATGAGCAACTCTATATTATCATCGACAAGGTAAACTTTCAAAATTCAAAGACATTTCAAATTAATCCTTAAAAAATAGTATGCCAAAGTCATTAGTTTGAGTCCTTTTTATGCCATTATGCTCAAGCATTGCATATGTATAGCTTTCATATTGTATTGTTCTCAGGTGATACATAAAGCTGTTCAATTTAACATCTCTGCTCTCAGTTTCTGCTTTAGGTTATTATATGAATATATTTATTTATTAGTGCCCCGTATGACCAATTTGTGTTCTTGTAGCCCAAACACTGTAAGCAAGAAGATAGTCATTTGATCAAAAGGTTTTAGGTGAGGTATTGGCATTGGGCTTCTCCTGGTTTTAGGCTTGATGCTTGCTGGTTTTTAATTGCGGATGCTCAAACCCTGCAGATTACGAACACAACATAAATGACACATTCATATTTATATCTATATATAAATTTTGTTCCTATGTTGATGCAATGTAAAACTATGTTTAACATGGCGCTTTTGTAGTATGACATACCATATTTTTTTGGTTCAGTGTAGAGAGAGTACTTGACAGAGTACACATCTACATATGTGATTGCAACTAGAGGAAGGTCCTTTCTGAGTTGTAGACTGGCCTCCTTCAACCTGCAGTTAAAGTACTGAGCTACCTCATTGTAAGCCCTCGCGCAGCCAGCGCTGTCCCTTTGAGCTGCCGGAAAAGTTGCCAAGATATAGGGAAGGCTGCCAATCGGTCCGGTGTTGTGGATCCAAAATGACCTGGCTCCCAACTTGTATATATTCTACACCATCACAATGTCATGGTTACAATACTTCCAATACAACATTTTTAGTCATGCCCATTTTTTTTATCCTCAACCTATCAATTGTAACTATCAAAAAGGAAGAACAACTACATGTATGATATATGCAGACCTTATGAAGATTATACCTTAATGTTAGTAGAGAACCTATTGACTATTTCTGGGACAGAAGCTGTAACGACCCTAGCTGATGCCAAAATTTTAAAAAAATTCGGCATGACCTTCCCTAAAAAACGGGCCTACCACAACCTGTTAAAAGAATTTTAAACCTGTCCCAACACAAATATCATATAATACATTCCAACATCCCTTTCATCCATTCACCATGCCTTAACTTAGTTCATTTCATAGTGGTACAACTACCTACTATATCATCCAGATACCATAATTACAGTCCCAAAATACAAGATTAATATCAAATGTCCATAAATATAATTACAATAATAAGAGTTCACAAATCTCTATACCAAATATAACAAACTAAGAGTTTACAAAAAAATATGGGACTTAACACAAAAATAGCAAAAAGTCTTCTAATCCAAATTAAGCCTGTGGTGGAAAGTCATCCGCCACTTCTTTCCCGTTTCCTGAAATTTTTTTATTAAATAATAGGGTGAGCATAAAGCTCAGTAGGTAGCACTTAAGACACGCATCTTGTGTCCCTGTGAATCCATACAAAGAATAAATCAATAGGAATAGGGATCATATAATGTCGGGATAATACAATACAATGCCATGGAATGCAAATGCATGCCAATGTCACTTCCCATTTTCACATTTCAAACCATCACTTTCAAACTGTTAATACAACCCGCCCTTTGGTGACCCCGCAGCGGCACGAAAGGAGGATTGGCTAGTGTCCTTGACCCTTGGTACCCCTGAGGCGTCATTATGGGGCCCAGCTAGTTCAATCACACTAGGGCGACTCCCTAGTCCCCTCTTGGCTATATTAACACTCCGGCCCTTTCGTACCCCCGCGGCGACCGGGTTTTCATAAAACCAATTCGTAAAAACTCTCTTCCCAAAATTCCCCTTTTTGTTTCAAGCAAATTCTTCCATTTCATGCAAACCCAATGGTATGTGCATGTATGTATGTCCCATGCTTTTCAATATTATGGCATTCTTTTTAAGATTTTACACTACAAAATTACTACACAACTAGACATATATCATATTCAACATCATTAATTAAATTATCAACACATTAAACACGACAAAACAACATCTAAACATGCTTTTCACATAGAACAACTCATAGTCAAAAACATGAATTTCTCTAGATATCATTTCATATAATCATTGATACAATTAACTCATAAATAAAGCATGTTATCACACAAGAGAGATATAATTCACAATGGAACAAGAAAGGCATGGATTAAGAGCCCCTACCTCAAAAGTGAGCCAAAACCCTTAAAATGGGTCTCTAAATTCGAAGTCCCTAGGAAGATCAAATCTGAAATTGCTTACACTAGTGCGTACAGCTCGTCGTGGGCTTCGTTTTGCCTCAAACGACTCTCAAATCTACCAAGGATTGAGGAAGGAATCAAGAGTGGAAGTTGAAAAGAAAAAGAAAAAAGAAATACAGAGAGGAAGAAAGGCAGCGGGGAGAGAGAAGAGGAACAGAAAAAATGGGTCTGTAATCCCATTTGGCACATGATAACATAAAATAAAGTAGGTCCCACAGCTAAATAAAAAAATTTCTTTTAACCTAAATATATATATAGATATAGTCAAAAACTTTACAGAAGCATTCACTTCCTCTATGGACATGTTATTGACCAAGAAACCTGTTTAAGATCATTCTGACCAATATCAAATGTATACAAGGCTTTTCGAAAATTTTCCTCCTCTGGCATTAAATCCTTGTATATTCCTCCTATATATAAGAGCAATTGAATTCCAAATTAACAAATTGGCAGAAATTTAAAGAGGGAATGTAACAGATATATATATATATATATATATATATATATATATATATATATATATATATATTTGAAAGTTCAAGCAAAGGCACACACGCTCATAATATTGCCTCTAATAGTGCTCGGACACTAAACCTCCCCATTGGTGAATGTAGTAGATATTGAAATGACATGGCACTGTGCGATAAAATCATTTACCTGTTTTCTTGATAATTTGTGATTTGTATATGAATTGTGCGAACTGCCAATACTATGCATCTAAGTAGAAGGGACTGAATGCACCCACCGGAATAATGGACTGAAGTGGTGTGGTGGTTGATGCTGCAGTGACGAAGTTTGCACCATTGGTGAAGTTGGTCCCCAAAGAATTGAGATAAGCACTCAGAAATGGGAGGCCAAAACTTGTAGCTGCAGTGGCATAATTTGATGATAGACTCAGGCACTAAGCAAAATGTAAGAATAATGAACTAGAGAGAATGCATCAACAACTGCCTTTAAAGTGACAGTTTGCTTCCATTGTGAATACCAAGTACTTTCCGTGGCTTTATTGTTCAAGAATTGCTCGGATACTCGCGTATACGTATTCAATATTGAAACAACCCTAAACTGATACCATTTAAAAAAAATTTCGGCATGACCCCCCCTAAAAATGGGCCTACCACAACTTGTTTAAATACATTTTTAACCTGTCCCAGCACAATAAACATAAAATATATATATTCCAGGATCCCTTTCATCCATTCATCATGCCTTAATTTAATGCATTCCATAGTGGTACAACCACGTACTATATCATCCAGATAGCATAATTACAGTCCCAAAATACAAGATTAATATCAATGTCAATATTTTACAACTTTTAGACAGCTCATACAAAAGTTGCGGCCCATAGGTACGATTATAATATTAAAAGTCCATAAGTCGTCGTACAAAATACATTATGCTTAGTCTTACAAAAATAGTGAGGCCCAAGTATAAGAACAACAAATTAAGCTCCTAATCCATACTAAGTCTGTGGTAGAATGTCATCTGCCACTTCTTTCCCGTTTCTTGAAAAAAATTATTAAATAATAGGGTGAGCATAAAGCTCAGTAGGTGACACTTAAGACACAATTCTTGTGTCCTTGTGAATCCAAACAAAGCATACGCCAATGGGAAATAGGGATCATGCAATATAGGGAATTAAAACAATATGCACGTTAATTCCAATTATAAACCATGCAGTGCAATGAAATGCAATGCATGTTAGTGTCACTCCCCATTTTCATTCACAAAACCATCACTTTCAAATGTTAATACAGCCCGCCCTTTGGTAACCCCGCCGCGACACGAGAGGAGGATTGGCTATCGTCCCTAGACCTTTGGTAACCCCGCAAGGTCATCGAGGGGCCCGAATAGCTCAACCACACTAGGGCAACTCCCTAGTCCCTATAACGACCCGAACCCGGGGGTTCGAATCGCTAATAGGGTCCTTACCAGAACTCGAGGTCAACTAAGGATACTATCGACCTTTCCTATGTCAATGCATATTATACGTGTTATTCTAGGGTTTATAAAATAAAAATAAAAATAATAATAATTATTAAATGAGATCATATCTACAAAGGATGACAAAACAGTCCACTAACCCATCAAGACTTGTGGAGGAGCGTCGTCCGCCACATCCTTCCCGTATCCTGAAAAATGTTAAATAATGGGGTGAACTAAATGCTCAGTAGGAGGTGCCTAAGACACACCTCTTGTGACCCCATGAATCCATGTATAGAATAGAAATCAAGAGAATGAGATCATACTATAACGGAGATATAATCCATAACCACAACGTCAAATATAACCACAATTGTCATTCAAGTCACAATTATGCCATGTAAGCCTATGTAGTGCAATGTCATGCCCATATCGCTCCACATTTTCCGAAACATTACCGTTTCAACTTCCAAACCGTTAGTGCAATCCAACCCAAGGCATCTCCAAGGTGTCACGAAGGGAGGATTGGCTAACTATCCACGAGGCGTCGCATCCGACCTAGTTAGCTCAACCATACTCCCCTTTAGACTACACTAACATAACGGACCACTAGGCGCCTCCTAGGCGTCCGATTTTCACAAACACTTTTCAAAAATATTTTTCTCAAAACAATTTCATTTGCTTCAAAAACACTTTTCCCTTTCTCTTTCTTTCCCAATGGATGCATGAATGCTTCATACTTCTAATCACAATTTAACTATTGAATTTCACATATGCTCTCCATAATAAATTTCAAAATGCGTAATTCATGCTTTCACTCAACATTAATTTAACATAATAAACATACAAGGTATAAATTATATTCCACATAGACATGCTTACACACAAAATATCAACTAATACAAAATCACATTTCTCATATACATCATTTAAGCATATATTCTCCTCAAATAACAATTAGCACATAACCACATATTACATATATAACAATTAAGTCATCTTTACAAGAATCCACAAAATTTAGGCATGCTTTACAACGATTAATGAAATGTAATTCACTAAAATCCAAGAAAATGTGAATTAGAAACCCCTACCTCAATTTTGTAGAAAAATCCTCAAAATGGGTCCTAAATTCGAAATCCCTAGATTGCACCAAAACCACTTTTGCTCCGATCAAATCGTAGATCTCAACGCGCTCTTCGCTTTGCCGCAAACGGCTCTAAAAAATACCAAAAAATGAAGGAGAAATCAATGATTGGATTTTTATTTTGAAAAGAAAAAGAAAATGGATTAAGAAGGGGGAGAGATAGAGAGCTTACGGGAATGGGATAAAATGTGAGGCCAACATGGCCTTTTGGCCACAATTTGTATAAGTGGTGGGTCCCAGGGACGGAGCCAATGAAGGCCTGGGGGGGGGGGGGGGGGGGCACGTGCCCCCCCTGAGTTGGTCAGCAACCTTTAATATATGTGGTAATTTTTAAAAAAATTTCCATATGTATGAAAAAATTTATATAGTGCCCCCCCCCCCCCCTTGAATTTGTAGTTCTTAAAATTATATTCTTATTTTTTCTTTTACTCTTCACATTCCTTAAATTTACTTAGTAGAAAAAGTCAAATTTTTCTTCCTCAATTGAAACTTTTTAATTATTTCCTATTAAGGTTCTTTTATTTTTCTTTCCTTTTATATTTTAATAATTTTCTTCTTCTTTGTCTTTTTGAATTTTATAGTTGTTATATATATATATATGTGTGTGTGTGTGTGTGTGTACTCCGTATTGTTTTTTTTTTTTTTTTTTTGTTTGGCAGTGTGCCCCCCCCTCACTTGAAATCCTGGCTCCGTCACTGGTGGGTCCTACCACTTTTAATTAATTTTTTATTTTTTTTATTTTTATTTTTTTACACCACAATTCTATATATATATTCATACACATAACAATTCTCCACCACATATATATACATATGTAAATAAATTACAAACATTATAATCTACCCTCCTTAAAAGATTTCGTCCTCGAAATCTACCTTCCTTGAAGAAGGAGGCCCACAACCATACACCTACCCGAGAACACCTCACAAAACCTCAAAACCATGAACCCTACAACATTATTGCCTTTGACACCGGACGTCACCAGGCAATCATACACCACTGCCACAAAAACACAATGCTCACCACCCTATAAGGGTACTCATTA